CTTCTCAGCTCTTAAAACTTCTGAAATTGGCTGGATGCTGGTGTGGCTTTATACACACTTTACATACACTTGTCTTTCTCATATTTTCTTTTCTTTCCTTTTTTTTTTTTTTTTTTGAGACAGTCTTGCTCTGTCACCCAGGCTGGAGTGCAGTAGTGTCATCATAGCTCACTGCAGCCTCAAACTCCTGGGCTCAAGCAACCCTCCTGCGTCAGCCTCCTGAGTAGCTGGGACTACAGTGCACACCAACATGCTCAACTAATTTTTCCATGTTTTTGGTAGAGACAGGATCTCATTGTTGCTCAGAGTCTTGCTCTTGGTCTTGAACTCCTGACCTCAAGCGATCCTCAAGCCTTCACCCCCCAGAGTGCTAGGATTACAGGCATGAGCCACTGAGCCTGGCCATCTTTCTTACATTTTCTTTATAAGGATTCATGTCCCCTGGACCAAATTCGTGTATTCTAAAAGAAATGTGCCATAAAATAAATTAAACAATTCCCACCTGCTGGATAGTTGTCTGGGCTAACATTAGCTATAATCAAACACTGACTGACGCACCACAGTTGCTCAGTGACTTCTCTCTGCCCTCGCTGTGGCTGCAGTCGACACTCTGCAGCTCTTCCCGAAAAGGCCGTTTCTCGGTACTCAGTTGAGCAATCGCACCGACTGAGTGAAGCCCACAAACATCTACGAAGCACTGCTCTGTTCAGGGCGTGCTCCAAACACTCAGGCAGCCAAGAGGAGCAAGACCCATCCCTGCCCCACAGACCTGGCCTGCTGCCTCAGGGTCCTGCCAGCCCAGGGCAGGGTTGTGGCAAGGTGGATGCCAGGTGCTCTGGGGAGCAGGGGAGGAGGCGTCCTGTGAGGGAGAAGGCTCCAGCCTCACAGGTGAAACCAGAGCTGGGTCTCCTGGGCTGAGGAGAAGGGCAGGGAGGAGTGCTCTGAGAGGGTAGGGAGGTTTGGCTGGGAACGCCGGCTGTGGGTGGGGGCGGGAGAGGCGGTGGGCAGGGGACAGCAGTCCCGCCCTCGTGAGCCTACATCTTGGCTTTTTATTGAGGCCCCCGACTGACATGCACATTATTATAATACTCCAGAAGCTGTGAGGGATCCCCGGGCTAAGTGGAAATTCCTCACCTCTTCCCCTCTGCTGCATGAGATCCACCGCCCAACATCCAGAAGCAACTTTTAGTACCATGTTTTGTTTCTGAAGGTAACCGGACGCATAAGCACGGGAGTAAGTGAAAAGAGCGCTGCGTTAGAAAATTGAAACGAATCGTGTAAAGCAGCACTCTGCCAGCGGGATTGAAAACAACAAACCCAGGGGCCCAGTTTTCTCTCAGGACCTCACAGTCTAGAAGGACAAACGCACACCACACATAGAAGTGAAGCTAGAGGATGCTGAAAGCAGAAGGGAGGGAGGAGGGACTCCCGCATGCGGGTGTCACCAGGTACTGCCCTGCTTGGAAACTCACGGCTGAGCCCGTTACTGTTTCACGATGCTGGCGGAAGACAAGGAACGTGAGCGTGTTTGTGTTGGTCCCTGAACCCCCACATCCCATGGGGGCAGGTGAAAGCCCAGAAGGGTGCCACACACACAGTGGGCTGTACACAGAAGAGGAACTCTGAGCTCAGGGAACATTCCAGAGGGAGGCATCACCTCCTGCAAGATGTCGTGCTGCGAACACAGCTCTGAGGACGCGCAGTTCAAGAGTGGTCAGGCCTTGCACTCTTGGAATACCCAGTATATGAGTTTCCTGTGGTTGCCATAACAAATTACCACAAACTGCATGGTTCAAAACAACGGACATTTATTCTCTCACAGTTCTGGGGTCCAGATGTCTGAAATCACGGTGTCGGCAGGGTCGGTTCCTTCCGTGGGCTGTGAGGGAGAATCTGTGCCGTGTCTTCTTCCCAGCCCCGGTGCTGCTCGGGCCATCTTCGGCATTCCTTTGTCTGTAGACACATCGTCCCCTCTCTGCCTCCATCTCCAATGGCCTCTCCTCTGTCTCTCCGTCTCCTGCTCCTTTCTCGTACAGGGCATCAGTCATTGGATTTAGGGCCCATCCAAATCCAGCTCATCTTGAGGTGCTTAACTTAATGACAGTTGCAAAGATCCTTTCCCAAATAAGGTTACCTTCACAGGTTCCGGGAGTTAGGACTTAGACGTGTCTTTTGGGGGGCCACCATTCAACCCAGCAAATGCATGTAGGAGAGCAAGAGGCCCAGGGAGGGCCATTTCTCCCAACAGGGAGAAGACAGATGGTTTTTATGTTGGCCTGAGGCCATGATCGGTGTGCACAAAGACGTGGGTGTGGAAAGTGAAGGGCACACTGGAGACAAGGTATCATATTTTACAAGAAATTAGGAGCTTGGGAACACGTGGTATAAGATAAATCAACTCACACCTGCTAAGTGCCAACACTACACTACTAGGGGCTGGGAAGGTAGCTGTGAGCAAAACAAAGTACTTGCCTTCATGAAGCTTACATTCTTCTCAGGAAAGAAAGTAAACAACATTAAGGGATAAATTTTCTAATATATTAGAAGCAAGATCTGGGAGAAAAGCCTCCCAGGGCAAACGCCTGAGGCGGAATCGGCCTGCCGTGGGCAGACTAGGAAGGAGGCCCGTGGATGTGAGGTCAGACACCGCAGGCTGAGACCTGCCCCTCGAGTGCTAACAGGGGAGCCCACACAGCCTCACTCACATTTACATACATATAAAACACCACACCTCCGAATCAGAGAATGGACAGTTTGTTACTCACAGCAACACAGCAGCCAGAACAGTATCTTGAGTGTTTCCCATGACCTTCTTCCCAAGGGGAGGTGGTGTGGACCTGTTAGTGCAGCGGATCTGCATGCCAGGGGAGGTACCGGAAATTAAGAGGCTTGATTTTATCAGGAATGCTGGGGACCTGCCTATCTTCTCCTCCAGAGAGAAAGTGCTCATTATCCTGAAATGGGAGCCAGTGTCTCTGGGATACAATGTCCTGGAATGTAGGCTGCTACCCCGGACATTCTGTCATCTCTTTGCTGTGCAATTGTCCCTGAAAAGCTAGTCTGTTCCTCTTGCTGAGAAGGTCCAGACATGCAGGAACCCGAGAGATCCAGGGAGAGCTGTCTCCCAAAAGTGGGCAGAGTGACGTCAGGGAGCAAGAGCATCCCAGGAGGTGAGGTTAGCCAGATGACAGGGCCCTTCTGTGGGGCCATGGAGGCCACAGCAGCAGGCTGCCATTCATGCTGAGTGAAAGCAGTACCATGGGTGGGTTCTGTGCAGAACAACATCGTGACCCGACTTCAGTTAGGAGAAAAGACTTCAGGGAAGCAGGGGTGGGAGTGAGGAGGCCGCTGGAGGAGAGGTGGGATGGAGATGGTAGCGAGAGGGGGGTCAGATTCGGGGTTTATTTTAAAAGTAGAACTGACAGGATCTGCCAACAGATTACATGAGACAAAGGAGTCAAAGGAGTGTGACTCCAAGGTTTGAGTCAGAGCAACTGGAAAGAGGGAGCTGCCATTAACTTCTTTCCCATCTTAGGGGTGGTCAGTCTGGGTAAGAACATTAGGACTTCAGTTTTGGAAATGTGAAGCCTGAGATGTTCAAGTGGAGATGTTGAGATCTGGAGTTCCGTGGTCTACGGTTGAGCTAGAGGTAAAGAATTTGGAGTTGTCAGTGTTTAGAAGGAACTCAAAGCCTTGTAGTTGGACCCATCACTAAGGGGGTATTTTGGAATAGAGAAAAGAGGGCCAAGGGCCAAGCACTCAGGGGAGGCAGAGAATCAACAGCAAGAGACAAGAAAGAGTGGCTGGGGAGGTGAGGAAGAAGGTGAGCCTGGGGTCTAAATATCTAACTGAACCCAGTGTTCAAGAAGGAGGGTCAAACACTGCTGGCTGAAGGTATGAGTGGCTTGGGATCAGCAACCCAGAGGCCAGAGCTGACCTCATGGCTGGGGGTATAGGAGACAGCCCAGGGTCAGGTCTTTTCAGGAAACAGAGAAAGGGGGCAGCACCTGGAGCAGAAAGTAGGTCCCAGATGCAGATCATGAGACAAGGGCTCCAGTGCAAGATGCTTATTTGGCAGGGAGTACGGGGGAGTGAGTCAGGGGAGAGGCAGCAGTGAAGGGTGTAATAGCACACCAGCTCCGCCTGGGCAACCAAGCCGCATCCTCCTGGGAAAGCTCTGGGAACTCATTAAAAGTACACACCTCAGTTATCTCGCTGAGGGGTGGGCTAGGTGTTATATTTATACATCACCCACCATTCACTGGTTGGAAGCTGCTGGGGGAGGGGAGCTCGTTCCAAGGCACTTGTGATCCACCACGGATGCAGCCCTCACCCAGAGGTGTCTGTCTGCCTGGGAGTCTGGATGGAAAGTCAGTGGTCAGCCCACTTGGTTGTCAGGGTGGGGTCTGCACAGCTGGGCATGGTGACGGGGGTGTCTGAGATGTCTGTGCATCTGGGGATCTGTTGATATCTGTCTGGCAGTCCGTCCAACTAGGGGTCCATCTGGCTGTCTAGCTGGTGGAGAGGTCTTTTGGGAGCTCTGTTTGGTGATCTCTCAGGCTGGGACTGGTCAGGTTGTTGTTGGTCTATCTCTTTGGCTGGGGGGTCCATCCAGCCAGCCATGGCCTGTCCTTCTGAAAGTCTGGCTGTCTTAGGGTCTGGCTATGTCTGTCCAGGTTGGTGGTCCATCCATCTGCCTATCTGGGGATCTTTTTGTCTGTCTCTCCGAGGTCAGTCTGTGTGGCTGTGGTTATGCCAGGCCTGGATCTGTGTGAATGCCTAGGGGTCTGTCCATCTCTCCGTGAGGTCACCTGAGTGTCTGAGTGAAGGCGGCTCACATACTGAGGAGGGACCAGTCCATTATGTGGTGAGGGGAGCAGTCTCTGGAAGCCCTTCTGTCCACTCCTGGCGTCACCACTCAGGAGCCACGCCCCTTCCAGACGCTCTTTTTAAATCTGCTCTGTTAAGCCTCGCAGGCCATTATAACCCACCTACCTCCCCCAGCCTCAAGCCTCCAATGCTGTAATCACCAGGGCAAAGCCCCACATTTCTCACCCTGAGAAACTTTTATTTTGATCAGGGCCAGTGTTCCCACTCCCAACACGTGGCACAGTGGAGCGTGGCTGTCAGCGAGCAGTCCAAGAGCTCACGCGGAGAGGCAGGCGCTGGTGCAGCACTCACACCCGGGTCCACTCGGCCGGGGGGTCCCGGGGCCCTTTTGGCCTTCCGATGCGCAGGTTGAAGCCTGGGAGAGGAAGGGTGCTGTGGGTCTCACGGAGAAGCGGAGGTGCGAAGAGGTAAGCAACTTGTGGAAGGCCGTCCCCATGCCTAGAGGTCCTCTGGCTTACTGAAGCCACCGGACTCCGAGAGCCTGAGTCCCACGTTCCCAGGCCAAAGTCCCAACTTTCTGGGGTGCACTCAAAGCTGCGTGGAGTCCCCGCGGCCCAGGCTCTGACTTACCTAGCCCACTGGTCTGAGCTCCATCCGTCACGTCCTCATAGGCGCCTGACCCGGCCGGGCTTTGGTCAGCAGGAACTGCGGGCAGGAGACGCCCGCCACGGGTCAGCTCAAGCAACCCCACGGAGTCCCAAGACCCCGCCCCGGACGCTTCCTTCCGAGGCCCGAGGAGGCGAGCTGAGGACGGCGCCAGCGGGAGAGGGCGTGCCCGAGGGCCTTTAGGTTACGGCCTGGACAAACAGGCCATTCTGGCCAGAAGCCGAACTGGGACCAGGCATCAGGGCCACAGTCTCCGGGGACGCCTCAGCGGCGTGACCAACGACTGGCAGTAGCCCGGGGGCGTGGCCAGGGAAGCCCGCAGGCCAGCCTCAGGGGCGTGGCCAGGCCGGTGGCCGGGTTCCAGCGGCCGCCCTGGCCCACGGATGCCTGCAGGATGGGTTCTGAGAAGGAGTAAATGGGTGGGCGCCGACCCGCCCCAGCCCCGCGCTGGCCTCGACTCACCGCGGCCCGGCGGCGCCCCCCGCGCGTCCTCCGCGTGGGTCCCGGGCCGCTGGGCGCGCGGCGCCACCTGGGCGTAGAGCGGCGCCTCCTCCGCGCTGCGCGCCCACGACCCCGGCCCGGCGCCCGCGCGCGCCCCGCGCTTCTGCACCACCGCGTACGTGTCGGCCATGGCGAGGCCCGGGGCCACGGCACCGAGATGCTCCTGCGGGCGGGCAGGGTGCGGAGGAAGTGAAACGGCAGCGCGGGGCGGGGGCAGCGGAGCGTGCTCGGCGCGCAAACCGCGGGCTTCCTTCCCGCCCGGGCGGCGCGCAGCCAGGAGGGAGGGGTCTCTGGGTAGGGCGGTCCCGTTTCTGTGTCCCCAGCGTCCCGCAAGTTAGGCAGGTGAAGGGGGGATGGGGCCAGCCCGACAGGTAAACGGGCAGGGTTTTGGTACTGAGGGGTGGTCGTTTCTGTGTAAATGTTTATTGAATAAAAATGAGGAAGTGGCATCGAAGAGGAGGAAGGGCTGGCCTTAAAGTGGAGGGCTAGCCTCCAGGGCGGGAGGGTGAAGTCTCTGCTGCGAAGGAGAGTCAACTCCGTATCCGCGGCACCCAACATGACGCCTGACAAGTGGGCAGCATCAGGAAGTTTTGCTGAATTATTGATTGGCGGACCCAGGAAAAGAACCTCAGAACGCAGGGCTAGGCGGAGGCCATGCATGGGACCACTGGGATAAAAGGGGCATCTTGGGGAGGGTTGTCAGAGCTCAATTCAAAGAAAGGGCCAGCGAATATTTGGTGAACTGAACAGCAAGCAAGCGGCTAGTGTTTCAAGGGCGAAGAAAGAGCCTCTGAGCCTGAGAAACTGGGCAGGGAAGGATGCAGAGATGCAGCCAGGTACCTGAGGGTCCCGCCTGGTGGGCCGGGCATGGCAAGAAGCCCGGGGGAGTCCGGAGGAAGAGGACGTCGTCATAGAATGGGACACAATTCTGGGGAAATTCATGGGAGGACCATGAGGCTTTAGAGGAAACTGGCCAGACCGCTGATGGGGCACTGGGGTAAGCTTAAGAGGAGATGGCAAGGGAGCCAGGAGGCCCTCAAGAGTGGATGTCATTAGGAGTCCGTGGACTCTGCTCCGGGTCCTGGTCTCAGGGTGTTGAAGGTGGAAAGGACGAGAGAGAGGAGGGGTCTCTGTACCTCCTTGAGGTTCTGGTAGTTGGGGCTGGCGTTCTGGAGCGCTGAACAGAACATCTGAGCCACCGTGTGGTACAGAAACCGGCACTGCTCCTGTCGGGGTGAGGGGTCATCAGGAAGGGGGGGGGGCAGGGATGGAAGCCCGGCCTGTGTTGCTAGGAACCAGGAGCCCGAGACTGAGGCTTGCACCTCTGTCTGCACGGCTGCAGGACACTGCTTCCGCATCTCCAGGACCACCTCGAAGAGGCCGAAGTTAGGTGGGATGGTCTAGGGCGGAGAGACGGGGCACGGGAGCAGGATGGCCTGGGCATGGGACACACACTGCACACACATGGATGCCTTCATCGTACCTGGGTCCGGAGCAGCTGCCACACGTAATCCACGGTGCACAGCACGCCTGTTCGCCCGCAGCCAGCACTAGCAAGGGAGAATCAGAGCCAGGGCAGGGCCTACCCACAACACCTTTTAAATGGGGCACTTGGGGCCGGGGGTGAGGGTCCTAATGGGATCCCCTGCAGGTCCTCTTGATTCCCAGGGTCCCCAGATTGTCACTGAAAAAGGAAAAACTTTTTAATCACGTATGTTGAGCATCAGCTGTGGGCTTACTCCCCAGCTGAGTCTGTGCTCAACAAATGCTAACAATTTCAGTCCAGGCAGGTGAGCAAGTATGGCCTCTCAAAATAGGCATTCAGGATGCAAGACTGGCCCCAGGCCCTGCACTCCCCTCCCTGCCGCCCACCCCACCCTGTCCCCTCTGCCTCACCAGACCCTCTTGAAGCCCATTCCCTAAACCTGCAGTGGACACAGAGGTGTCCAGGGCCAGATCCCTGGAGGCGACGGGCTTCCTCCACCATGGCCAGTATGTGAGCAGGACTGCTTGGGACCCCATGGTCTGGCCAGGACATATACTGCAGCTGGTACACAGAATGGGATTCCTGAAAACAGAAAAAAGAGGAGCAAAGAATAAGAAAGAAAGAAAAGCATCCATGAGAACTTACTACACGCCAGGCCCAGAGCTAAGTATCTTACATTTAAACCCACCAGATAATAACTGAGGAGGTAGGTGCTATTGTGAATGCCCATTGTACAGAGAGAAACAGGCAAGAAATTGCTCTCATGTGGGGGCCCCTTTCCTGCCTCCTCCCCTGTCTATACCTGCAGGGAGAAGGCCACGCTCCCAGCAAAAAATCGGTCCCTTAGGTAAGGGTTGTTGGAAAGGATAAGAAAATAATAGAAAATAGAAAATAATGGAAATAAAAGAATACACAGAGACAAAGGTATGGTTTTATAGATTTATAAAGATTATAGGCAAAGTGGGTACTCAGGGGGCCTTGGATCTCTCCGTCAATCACGAAAGACAAAGAGTGAAGTTTTACATGGGCATTTATAGGTACAGTGATCAGTTGCCAGGGGTAACAGATTTACATAACAACAGGTATGAACAACAGTTCATCTTAGGTTAAAAGTTTTTCAGAAGGCTTCTTCAGATCCCTTAACTAATTCTATCTACATGAACAAATGGTTACAAAATCTTTCAAAGACTAACTTCTAAGTTCTAAGGTAAATTTATCACTTAGCAGAAAGGTTAAACAGAGATATAGTGGCTCCATATTTTCTTTATCAGGTTATAGTGTATTGAGACAGGTAGTCAGGAGTTTAAGCCAGAACTGTCCCTTGGACTAATTGCTTTTAGCCACAGGTGTCTGTCTGTTGGGCGGGCACTCTTTGATCAGCTCTCATCCTGTGGCTCTTAGCAGACCTGCTTTGCTTTTCAAAGCAAGTCTAAACCTCAGGTCTGAGAATTGCAGCACCATTGTGGGATACAGCCAGCTACTGATCTTTCAGAGATGTCCTCCTGAGGTGAAACAGCTTTTGATATGCAAACTAACATGTTCACATATTCCTTCAGGGCAAAGCTCTGCAAAACTCCTGAGACGGTTCTGTCTCCAATATATTTATATTAATTTATGGAGCAACATATACCTTCTGGAATGTGACCTTAAGGGTCCTGAGCATCATGTCTGCATTCAGTCACTTCTCCTTTGTCTGAGTATGGAGGCAATAACAAAAGTCATGGTGCCAAAAGACACATGTTTAGAAAGCAAAGCATTCCTGATTAAAAATCAAATAAACATATTTTAAAAAATTCATTTAGCTCAAACATCCCCCAAAGTGTTCAGGAAGGAAGCATTTGACAGAGGGAAGAAAGAGGACACTATTATAAAAACCCCAAACATGCCCATTTACAGGGAAAAGAAAATTCTAAAACAAAAGTTTCACTGTATTTATTAAGTACTAACTGTAGGTATTTCTTTTGAAATGGTAAGAGGAGTAAGTATTTCAAGAAACCAGGCACATTTACATTACAGAGATAGCTGTGATACTTCACAGAGACATTTGTAGGCTAATACCAGGTAGTTCCCTGCAGTGTGAGGGGACCGTGTGATAAAGATTTCAAGGCCAGTCCAAAGGCTTTCCACCCTGGGACTCTGCCTTGAAACCTCCCACAACATCCAAGTCCCCAAGAACCCTGTTCCCATCTCTGCCCCAGCTCACCAAGGTGATGCAGAAAAGCCCAATCTGCAGTGGCTCCTGTTCTTGGGCCCAGTAACACTCACACCTTTTCTACAAAAGGTATGGGAGAAAGAGCAGGGAGTGAGGAGGGGGAGTCAGCTTCAGAGTTTCAGCTCAATACGTCCACCCTTCCCACCACCCCATTCGCCGCAGGTGCTGCTGGTGGACACACACAGGCAGCTGCAGCTGTGATGGAGGCCAGCCAGAAGCACCAGCAGACTGAACACGCAGACTCAATGGAGGGGAGCCAGGACCATGCAGGAGGAAGACAGTCCAGGATACCCTCCCACTGCAAGCAACTAAAAAACCACCAAATCTATGAGCCATTATTTTCAGACACTGAATGACAGGCATTGCAGGACTCTGGTCACTGAACAGACCACCCCAGCTTACTGCCTGGAAGTGTCACCAGGCTGTAGGACATGAGGAGTCCAGTGAATCTCAATAAGTTGAGAAGCCAGAGATAATGGCTCAGGGAGGCCAAGGAAGCTAGAATTTGCAGGGAAGCTAGAATTTGCAGCCCTGGAAGGAACAAAATTATACAAACAAAAGCAAACAAACAAACAACTTTCCCTTGCAACAAAACTCCCCAAACCCCTCCAGAAACTGCACAGGGGTCTGTTCCCTCCTTGAATCTTTGGCAGAACAATAATCTGCATGCACACATACAGCATGAGACTCCATGAGGCCATGCAAGAATAACTTCCCATGAAAGCATAATACTACGAATCTGCAGGATTAACATTTTCTAGAGCTCACAATGAGACAGAAATAATTTACATATCCTCTAGACAGAGTGCAGAGGCCTCATTGATTCTAGGGGGCATTCAGTAGGGAACCCAGAATGACCAGATTAGAAGTAGTACTAAATTAATCCTACCATAAAGGGTAGGTACTCTAGACCTGCCCTAACAGAGCTTATACTCAAACCTCAAAATGATCAAACATCCAAAAGTAACTTAATTGCCTTCCTGAAAAAGTAAAACACTCTTTAAAGAAACAACAGAATCCAGCACTTAGCTGTTTAACATTTAAAACATCAAGCATCTAATTACATTTTATTAGCCATACAAATAAGCAGGAAAATGTGACTCTTAACCAGGAGAAAAATCAGTCAATAGAAAAAGGCCCAGAAATGACAGAGGAAGAAAGAAGCAAAGACCTTAAAATAGCTATCATAAATATTATAAATATACTCAAAGATGAAAAGGAAAACATGAACATGATCAAGAGTAAAATAAAAAATACAAAGAAAACCTAAATGTAATTTCTAGGAGGAAAATTAAAATATACGAAATGAAAAACGTACTGTTCAATAGCAGATTAGACCTCAGAAGAAAAGATCAGTAAACACGAAAACATAGCAATAGAAACTATTCAAAATGAAAAAGACAAAAGAAAAAAAATACCCCCCAAACAGAGAATCACTTCTATACCAAATGGTCTAATGTATGTATACCTGAATGAAGTCCAGAATGAAAAGTGAGAGAGGGGAGAACAGAAACTATATGTGATAAAATACAAGCTGAAAAATTTCCCAAATTTGATGAAACTATGAACCCACAGATCCAAGAAAGTCAATGAACCAGAAGGAAATAAACATAAAGTAAGTCATACCAAGGCAAATCAGGATCAAATTGCTGAAAAACATTGATAAAGAGACAATCTTAAAAGCATCATATACAAAAAAGACACATTGCATGCTGAAGAACAAAGAATGACAGCAAAATTTTGTCAGAAACTCTGCAAGTCAATGGTGTGACATCCTAAAAATGCTGAAATTAAAAAAACAACCTTTTCACACAAATAAAAGCTAAGAGAATTCATCACAAGCAAATCTGCACTATGAGAAATATTTAAGTAAGATCTTCATACAAAGGGAACATGATACCAAATGGAAATACAGATCTACACAAAAATAATGGGGTCAAGAAAAAAGTAAATATATGGCTAATTGTAAAAGATATTTCTCTCATTTTTCACATCTTTAAAAGATAATTTAGTGAATTTTATCAAACAATTAAGGAGGAATTAACACACCAATCCTTCAAAAACTCTTGCAAAAAACTGAAGAAAAGGGAATATTTCCCAACATATTGTATGAGGCCAATATTACCCTGATATCAGGATTAGACAAAGATATCACAAGAAAACCACTAACCAATGTCTCATGAATATAGATACAAAAAGTCTCAACAAAATACTAGCGAAATATACAACATGACCAAGTGGGATTAATCCCAGGAATGCAAGGTTGGTTCAGTATATGAAAATCAATAAATGTCATACACTATATTAGTAGAGTAGAAAAAAAAACCATGATCATCTGAATATATGCAGGGGAAAAAAAATCAAGAAAATCCAACAGTCTATCACAATAAAGTTCATTAGGAACTCAGTGCCCAAAGTTTTTATTGGGGAACCTTCTGTATAGCATGTAGGCACCCTCTGCCCAACATGTACCTGTATCAAAATTTCAGACTCTCAGAGAGCAGGTGTTCAGCATCAACCATATTGTTTGTATAAGCAGTTTAGGCATAGTGAGCCACTCTTACTAGAAATCCAAGTTCCCAGAGGCCAGATAGGAGCCAATCTTATAGGAAGGCCTTTTTAAGCTTAAGCAATTTAACTCTCAAGCAATGTTTAACTCTTTTCTACATAGAAAGGGACCTATCTTGAAAAAATAACAAATTAAAAGGACTTATACTTCCTCATTTCAAAACTTACTATAAAGTTATAATAAGCAAAGCTGTGTTATACCGGCACAAGGACAGACATATTGTCAATTGAATAAAATTGAGAGTTTAGAAATAAACCCTTACATTTATGGCCAATTACTTTTCAACAAAATTGCCAAGACCATTCAATGGGGAAAGCATACTTTTTTCAACAAATGGTGCTGGAGCAACTGAATATCCATATGCAAAAGAATGAATTTGGATCCTTACCTCTCACACTACATACAAAATTAACTCAAAATGAATCAGAGACCTAAATGTAAGAGATAAAGCTACAAAACACTTAGAAGAAAACATAGGAGTTAATCTTTATGACCCACTGTTAGACAATGACTTCTTAGATAAAACACCAAAAGCATAGGTGAAACAATAGATAAATTGGAATTCATCAAAATTAAAAAAGTTTGTGCTTCAAAGAACACTATCAACAAAGTGAAATGATGTGAGTCAGGAGGCTGAAGTAGGAGGATTGCTTGAGCCCAGGAGTTTAATAGCAGCCTGCACAACATAGTGAGACCCTGTCTCTACAAAACAATACAAAAAAAAAAAAATTAGTTGGGCATGGTGGCATGCTCCTGTAGTCCCAGCTACTCAGGAAACTGAGGCAGGGGCCCAGGAGTTTGAGGCTACACTGAACTCTAGCCTGGATGACAGAGAAAGATCCCATCTCTTAAAAAAAAGTAAAATGACAGCCCATGGAATGGGAAAGATATTGTAAATCATGTACTGATAAGGGACTTGTATCTAGAAAAACTCTTACAATAATAAAAAGACAATCCCAAATAACCCATTTTTAAAATGGGCAAATGATCTGAATAGACATTTTCTAGAGGAGATACACAAATGGACAAATAAGCGCATGAAAACCAAAACCACAATGAGATATCACTTCCCACTTATTAGAGTGACGTGTGTGTGTGTGTGTGTGTGTGTGTGTGTGTGTGTGTGTGTGTGTGTGTAGAGAGAGAGAGGGAGAGAGAGAGAGAGAGTCATACGGGCATAACATTTCAGTTAATGACAGACCACATATATGATATTGGTTCCATAAGACTATAATAGAGCTTGTATAGAAATTTGATATATAGCACTTGATATTGGCAGTGCAGATCAAGTAGGGAAAATGACTGATATTCAATAATGGTGTTGGGACATTTGGTTTACCATATGAAAAAATAGATAAAATACCATCTAAGTTTGTTTGTGTAAGCGTACTCTATGATGTCTGCACAATGACAACATTGCCTAATGATGCATTTCTCTGAACTTATCCGTGTTGTTAAACTATGAATTTTTCTCTCTGTGCTCTTGCTGTCTCTCTCTACACACACACACACACACACACACACACACACGTATATATTTATATATACAAAAAATAACAAGCGTTCATGAGTGTGTGGAGAAATTGGAAGCCCTTGTGCTTTGCTGATGGGAATGCAAAATGGTGAAGCCACTGTGGAAAACAGAAGAATTAAGCATAGAGTCACCATATGAACCAGTAATTCTTCTCTGGGTATATACCCAAAGAACTGAAAACAGGGACTCAAACAGATATTTGGTTACTAATAGTCATAGCAACATTATTCACAATAGTCGCAAGGTAGAAACAACCTAAATGTCCTTCAACAGATGAATGGGTAAACAAAATGTGACAAATACATACAATGGAATATTATTTGGCCTTTAAAAGAATGAAATTCTGATACATACTGCAACATGGATGAACCTTGAAAACATTTTGCTAAGTGAAATAAACCAGAGACAAAAGGACAAGTATTCTATGATTCCACTTCTATGAGGTACCAAGAATAGGCAAACTAATAGAGATAGAAAGTAGAACAGAGGCTACCAGAAGATGGGGGAAGGGAGAATGGGGAGTTGTTTAATGGGTGCAGAGTTTCTGTTTGGGGCAATGAACAAGTTCTGGAAATAGTTGGTGGCAATGGTTGCGCAACATTGTGAATATACTTAATGCCACTGAATTTTACAGTGGCATTTGAAATGGTTAAAATAGCAAATTATATGCTGTGTACATTTTACCAGGATTTAAAAAGAGATAAAATATGAGATACCACCTCATATTCCCTAGCATGGCTATAATAAAAAAAGATAGACAATAACAAGTGTTGGCGGGGATGTGAAGAAATTGGACCCCTCGTACATTGCTGGTGGAAATGTAAAATGATGTAGCCACTGTGAAAAATAGTTTAGCAATTCCTCAAAATGTTAAAAATAGAGTTCCCATATGACCCAGCAATTCCACTTCTAGGTTTATACCCCAAGAGAAATGAAAACATACGAATTTCATAGCAG